CTTTTTGGTCACCTTTCTTTCCCTTTCTTCATGATTGCCTCTCTGTGTAATTTGCTTTTATCCCCTTCTTTTTTTCGGACTAAGATTATTTAGGGGGTGTATTCAATTGGAATTTTAAGGGATTTTAATTCTTTTAATGAATCTAGGGGTATTCAATCAGGATTTTAAGGGATTCTCTGAAATTCTAGGTGTATTCAATTAGAATTTTAAAATAGTTTATTAAAATCCTTAGAAATCCAGGTGTATTCAATTAAGATTTTAAAGAAGTTTATAACATTCCAGGTGTATTCAATTAGAAATTGATTTTAAAGAATTTGAGAAAGTTGAGGAATTATAGGGAATTAGAGAGATTTCATAAGTGTATTTAAGTATCCACAAATCTCACCTCTTCCCATGAGATTTCGAGAGAATTGAATCAAAATTTTATACGGAATCTCTACAAATCAATTAAACTCCATAAAAATCCATGGATTTATAAATCCATTAAAATCTCTCACATTCGCAATTGAATACACCCCCCTTATCCTCCAATTTCCATCTCCTCTTTTCACATTTTTTATTTTATCTTTTTATTTTATAAAAAATTAATATAAGATATTAAGGTAACTTAACCGTGACCGTTCAAATAGAAAAGGAGGAAAAGAGAAAGAAAATAAAAGAGATGAGAGAATTCTACTTCCATTTTTTCTAATTTTGCAGTCACCCCTAGTCACATTTCCTTTTTTTTCTTTTTTCTATCTTGCTAGAGTATAAGTTGGGTTTGAACAGATCTGAATTTAGTCAAATTGATTAGAAGAGGTACTTCATAAGTTCAAATATTTCTCCCTACATTTTAAATAAATTTTATATAATTATCATATAATTTATCAAAATAATAAAATATTACGCGTAATTTGAATTATGTTATTAATAATTGACTCCTTACTAGCATTTGAGCTAATGATAAGCTTTTGATATCTTCATTACAGCAAATGATTAAGTTACAATCTCATTTAGAGTGATTAATTAAGATGTTGGCGTAAATATCTATTAGTATACACTTTTTTTTCTTCTGATTCATAAATACACTCATTAATTGTAATACGAGCATCTTCTAGTAAGAAAAAATGTGCTTCATAATTTTGTATATCTTGAGTATTTATCAACGGGTGGAATTATTTAATTTATTAATCTTTATTTCAAGATCATTCTTACAAAAAAATCATTTGAAATCGTTTAATTATCCAAACGCATCAAGTAAATAGATGGTTCATTATGAATATATTACATAGAATCTACATAGTCAATTTGTTATATACGTTTGAATGATTAAATAATCTTGGATTGAAATGATTTTTTGCACGAGTAATCTTCCAATCAAAATTAAGAAATTGAACGATTTCGATTATGAAATTTGTATGATCAAGAGACGTTATTCACAATAGGGAATGAGCTCATTCCCAAAGGGAGAATGCAAGTATTATGAGGACGAAATTCGAACAAATGACCTGAAGGTTAGGAGAAAATGCTTTTATTTTTTTTATTACAAGCAATTTTACACTAATTTACACAATTTCAACCCTAAACTAGGCTGAAGAAGAGAATTTTAAATATCAGCGTAAAAAAGACACTTTTAATTACTATCACTGTAAAAAAAAAGACACTTTTAATTACTTAACAAATTTCTTGTGAACTATTTTCTAGTATGAAAAACTTATAAAAATAAAATTCAAGTATAGTTGGAACTCTCATCTCCTTATTTGTATAAAACAAAATGTCATCTCTTTGTTAATAAGGAGAAATTTTTTATTGTGACTGGAACACGTGTGGTATACCATGTATTTTTATACAAATAGTGAAAAATTATATATTTTAAGTTATTAATTTTTAAACAACGTATCCCATCATTTGTACAATAACACGTGATACATCATTTCGTATTTCAATCACAATAAAAAATCTATCGTTAATAAGAAGAAAAAAAAATCTCATTCTCAAAAGGCACTAATTTTAAAGGTTAATAAGTTGCCATGGACTAAAAAGGAACTTTCCATGATTATTGCCGGCTTCAAGTTTTAGCCACGTGCATTCGACTAGTTTAATTGTCAATTAGCGAAAATGATAACAGCATGGAGATCAATTTTTTGGACTTGGGATTTTATCTGAATCTTCTTTGTAAATATATCAACAACATATTTGGTTATGTACATTGTACAATCGTATATTATTTTAAATTTCTTTTATTTAAAATTAAACACAAACATATTAACGAAAACATTCTTTGAAAATGACCCTCATAACAAATTTTTTAAATCAAATTAACAAATAAAGTGATGTGTTTGTAAATAATTAAATATTTATTAACTTATTTATTTCTGACCGTTATACATTATTTAATTTAAAATTTATTTTCTTTACGTTACGCAAATGTCAGAGGAATAACCATTTTTTTCTTATTTATTATACTTTTTGCCACCTAAACCCCCTATTACTTGTTTTCATTAATTATTTGATAGAAATCAGATCTTGCCGACAGGGGAGGTGACCCGCCATTTGCTCTGCCACGTTCCATGAGATTTCATTGATATGCGGGCACCTAATTACTCGTTTTCTTTATTTCTTATTTATTACGTCATTAGTGGGTAGATCCAACGTCGGCCCCCTGCTAGATGATATGCGTGTGGATATATGTGGATAAGCATGGCCCACCTCTATTTCGCGCCCATATTGCCTCTGCCGCGTTCCGTTTACTCTACATCGCTCTCACGGTTGACAATGCAACACGCGGCTTTCACACGCTTTGCAGTCCGCACATTTTTGTATTTTTAAACGAAATTATTTATACTAAATAATTGTTATGTAGTACTATTGTCTAGTAGTATTTTTCTTTATTTATAAATAAGAGGTCTTAAATTCGATTCTTGTTAAAGATGAATTTAAACCACATTATTGTTAATTAATTATGATGCTTAGCTTACTCTCTCACTTCTCCAGTGTATATATTATCGTTGGTTCCAAAAAGAGAAGAGAGAGATATAATTATGAGGTATATTTATTTCACTCATTGTGCCTTTATGTACTATGGTAGGAAGATAAATTTCTTACCATAATTGCATTACTCTAATAGGATAATATCTAAAGATATAATACGGTGAATTCTTAATAGGAACCCGATCACATTTCTAAATTCTTAGGACTACAACAATGCACATATTATTTTTCCAGGAGCATTTTTGTACACCACCATAACTGTGATTTATGCTCACCATAACTATGTTGTATGCTCATCATACACCTAATCAATTGACATTTGTCTTTCACCTAACTCTAGTTAGTTACTTTTTCAATTTTGAAAAAAAACTTAACCAATATTAAGTGAAGAGACACATGTTAATTGATTAAGTGTAAGGTGAGCATACATCATAATTTATGGTGGTAAGCAAAATATGCTCCCTATTTTCCCCTTTTTATACCTTCTTTATTCTTTTTAACTTGTAAACTACAGATTTTAAGTTTAACTCATATAAATTATGATATTTGTGTTAAGTTCGATATTATTTAATGACAAATTCACTTTGTGGTCTCCCATCTCCCCTTAGAGTAGGGGTGGTTCAGATCAGGATCTCAAATCGAAACCCAAAACCCGAATACCAGCCCAATCATTTTCAGGATGAGACTTTATAACTAGAAACCGAACTGAATTTCAGAATATTTTTTTCCAAGATTTTGGGCTGTTTGGGATTATTACAAATGAATCCAACATGAACTAAAATCTAGATAGGAATCACACAACAATATCTCATCAAGTCAATATATACAACACAAACAATCAAAAGAAAAGAAAAACTATGTACAAAGGTTGAAACATTGACCAAGGTTGAACGACAATAGCCAAAGAAAAATGAAAAAGAAAACTTTCAGATTAGCACATAATCAAACCAAAAAGAAAAAGAAAAAGAAAATCCCCAAATCCTCATTTCTTCCTACTTTAAGCCAGCCACTAGTTTTACGAAAACCCCAAAACCCAGAAACCAGTTACCAAAACATTCTAGAAGAAAATCACTCAATTGAATACCAACATTCATATCCAAACACATAAAATGGACGGTTAAGATATATCTCAACCAATCCAACAGACCAAGTAATTAGTAAATTATAAATTAAAATAATATATATAATATCGGTTCGATTCAGGGTTCTCGAATGATTACAAATAGGAGATTGAATACCATATTCAGTTCGGTTTTGGGACGGGATCAAAACGGTTCGGAAATTCGAATTTTTTTTCCACCCCTACCTTAGAGTATAATCCCATGCCCTTATACTAAGATGATGATGATGATTGCTGTAAAAAATCACTTTATTCTACAAAAGGTAAAGTTTTGTTAACAAATGAAAGGACGGTGAATCAAAAAATTATATAAATATGGTTTGTTGTAGGACTTAATTCTATTTCTTTGCCTTATCTATTTTTATTTAATTTGTATTGATTTCAATTAAATTAATTTGAAATAATCGAAAGCGATTTTTACGATTAGAATTCCAAGATTTCTGATTATTTTTAATATGAATCAAGATCAAAAGAATCAATGACTTCTTCATCGGAATGCTAACAAAAAGATTATTTTTATACCCACCGAAGAAGTTATTCATTGAGGAGCTGACAAATGATCCATGGGAACTTCTTCGGATTTCAAAAAGCATTAGTAAAATCCGTCGACTTTTAACTTGGAACCACGTGCATCTAAAATACCTGTTACTAATATCAATGTAGTTGTATGTAAACCTAGAACAATAGCATGATAAACCAAGAATTATCTAGGTCCTATTGTTAAGAATAGTGAATTACTATTCTCATTAATAGCATTTAACTAACCCGGTAACCATATGCTTTGACCCGCATTGAACATTATGAAAGTTTTGTTAATAAATGAAAGGACAGTGAATCCAAAAAGTATCTAAATTATGTTTTGTTGTAGGACCTATTTAACTAGAAAATTATAGAGAAGGTGTGACAAACATAGAGAGAATTGAGAAAATCACTCAATTGTGTCTTTATTTATAATAGTAGGGAATGTAACTTTCTTACCCTTTAGGTATTACAATTTAAACATGATACTACCTAAATGATATGATAGAATCCAATAAGAATTTCCTAGAATTGACACAATCACATTCCTATCTAAATTAGGACTGCAACACATCCCCTTGAGTGTGTAAGTACTCGAGTAAATGGCAGATTGGTTCTTCAGTAATGAAGTAAATTCAGTTGATGAAGTCATCTGCACAATGAGCAGATGCGATTATGCTAGTCTCAAATCAACAAAAAAATGTTAATATTCCCAAAACCTTGCTATGGTAAAACCCAATATGTGAGCAAAAAAAAAAAAAAAAAAACCATAGATTGAAGAGAAATGCGAGAAGTTTGTCAAAACTATAAATCTTCTGGACTCAAGTTAAAGACCTCACAAGGGTATAACTAGCTCAGGATGGGTGCCTCGCTAAAGCCTAGTTAGGTAGCAAATAAATCTAGAAATCCAAGTTTGTTAGTATTCTTAACTCTATCTGGTTATTTATATTTATCTTATACATAATTTAAGTTGTGATTTTCTTCATGGAATTCTTGTGTTATTTTCATATTTTCTAATATTGCTCCAACATAGAGAATGTTAATACCCCATACCAGTGTTCTAAAAATAGGCCTAGGCGGCCGCCCAGGCGCTGAGCGGCGAAGCTTCGACTTAATTTAGACCAAAACATTCATTTAGACGGGGAAGAATTAGGCGGCCGCCTAGGCTCTCACTAGGCGGCGCTAGGCGACAATCTATGCAGTTTGAATCTCACTGCAAATCCCAAAATTGCTGCAATTTTCACAACGAATCTACAACTTCCGATCTCGTACGTAGCAGCAGAGCCTCGACGAATTTCTGCAGCTCGTCTCTATGAAGATGATGGCAGAGAGAGAGAGAGAGAGACTGTCGGCAAATTTCTGCAGCTCGTCTCTATGAAGACAAAGGAAGAGAGAGTGATGTTGGCGAATTTCTGCAACTCGTCTGTGAAGATGAGGGAAGAGAAAGTGCGAAGAGAGAGAGAGACTTAAACATTCCAATATGTGGTGGCACAAGTTGAGGACTGGGATCTCAAATCCAAGATCAAATGCTGATGGTTTTAATTATGAAAACCACCCAAGGTGGACGGGTGATGTGAAAGAGGTGAGGTGGATGGCTGATGGTTTTAACTTTTAATAATGAAAACCACCCACTATGTGGGCTTTTTATATTTTTAAAAGTTAGGGATATATATATGTTATATAAATTATAAATTATTTAGATAATTTTTTTTTTCCCTAGGCAAGCATATTATATATGTACATAAAATATTCACATATGTATGTTCTTCTATAAGAAATAACATATTAGTCAATAATTATTTACATTTGATATAGTAAATTTAATTAATTCATAAAATATATAAGAAATTTACCTAAATCCGTCTAGGCTCCTGCCTAAACCCCGCCCAACCGCTAGGCGCTAGCCCATCACCCGACTAGCGCCTAACGTTTTTTAGAACCTTACCCCATACACTATATTTAAAATGCTTTATTCCTTATCCTACCTAAACAAGGTTTTCTCATAAATTTGGAAATCTAAAAGTAGAATAATAAAATAATAAATAAATGTTTCCTATTTAAAGTCAAATTCAGACGATAGAGAGAATCAAACTTTTGACCAACCAAATCAACTCTGATTTGGTTCCAAAAAATCTATTTTTAAAACTAAAGATGTCCCCATAAATCTTGAGGAGAACTTAAAATATGTCATCTTAACCTTCAAAATACCTAAAATGTCAAGAAATATCAATCTGTGAAAGCTGTGCACTAGGCTTTCTTTTTTTGGCCTCAATCAAACGTCTTGGAATTAAATTTTGAAATTTTGATATAATCATCTTGAAAGACTTGCAAATCCACTCAAATTGGAATTACTTAAAAATTCCTTCATTTGGTCACTGTTTGCTCAAAGTGGATTCACATGTCCTACAATTGAAATATATAACAAAGTATTAAAATTCAATCAAAATAATCAATAAATTATAACTAAGAATAGAGTAAAATATATACTAACATTGACTCATGACGCCTCCATATTCTCTCTAAGTCAAGCTCTACCGCGCCCTTCCAGATTTCGATCAATTTCATCTGCATCTCCGATCGCCAAATTGATCTTTGGGCGGTCATCGAGCTCCGAAAAAGGACTAACAACGAGCGAGCTTGGCCTTCAATTCGCTGAATTACAGATCTCACCGAGAGACACATGATAATAATGACGTGGAAAATGAATTACATGGCAGTTTTCTAATTGGTTGCTGTGGTTAATTTTAAGGTCCAACTATGCCAACTAAGACGTAATTACTATATTAACCTTACACGTCAACACATTAGACTCGAATTTAACAGAATAAACATAAACACCACCCCCTCATGCATGAGGTGGTTAATATCTGTTGTGGGCGTTAGAGCATTGCGAGGACCTTTCCCTAGTACTAGAAGACCAAGAAGAACACACCTTTGGTGTACCCGTTATTGTGCCTTAATAAAAACTGGGTAGCTAAGTGCAGAATGATAGCTGCTAAAAGCATCTAAGCCGTAAGCATATCCCAAGATCTTATTCCAACTTCTCTATAGCCTCTAGTATCGCAGTCAAGACAACAATGGTTTTTCTCGGCTCTGCTGGATGGAGCAACATAAGTTTTAAGAATTTAAGAAAAAGTTATCGCGAGTAGGGCTGGGTACGGGCTGGGCCCAAAATTGGAGGGACCGACCCAGACCCGCTTGAAAATACAATGGGCTAGGGCGGGGTGGATTTTACTATTTTGAAACTGACCGGTTCCTACAGATCCAACAAGTACATTTTTTTTTTCTTTCTAATTTTCAGTATCCCACCCAGATTCCCAGTCGAAGAGCCACCGGAGACAAATCAGAAAACTGGATCCATCAGTAACTGCGGCCTGGAATTATTCAAGAACAACAAAATAAGTAGACTAAAAATATAAATCCACGAGATAATGAATTGCATGCATTTAAATCAAAAAACCCCAAAAATTAAGCAAAAAAAAAAAGATGAAAATCAACGATTGAGTACCTCGTGAATGACGACGGTGAGGTTGGCGATGGTGTTTTTGGCCCTACGTTCATCTAATCCGACTTTGATGAAGAGCTTGAGGTTCTTCTCCTTCTCGGATGAGCGTCGTCATTGCCGGGCATGGCTGAAACGGGAAAGAACTTTGGAGACCGATTGACCCTCGATGATTGGAGGCGTCGAGATCTGGATTCTAGAGGCTAGAAATGGTTGTTGAAACAAACAATTCGAGGTCGAGGTTGAGGTTGAGATTGAGGTTGAGAGGAGTTGAAGACTAGGTAGAAGTGGGAGACTCTGGTGGACTCTGGAGTCTGAAGTTTGGATCTGGAGAATTCGACAAAACCCATGTGGCTATGTGTTTGAAATAAACGGTGGAGATTTAATCTCCTTATAATGAACAATGGAAAAGGTTTGGGCCGGGGGCCCGTTTTCTCTGAAATTTGTACCTAACCTGCCCCTTTAGTTCAATGGACTTGCCTTGCCCCGCCCCATTTTGAATTTACAATATATGTACCCGCCTTGAATTGGCATCACAGCCTTAACCCGCGGATCCAAGACCTGTTTGCCCAGCCCTAACCGTGACATTAAAGTCAAGTTCATGAGACATCATAAAAATAAAATAAATAAATAAAAAAAAAGCCCAAAAAAAAAATAGAACTTCGAAGCAAGGAAAGAAGTTTGGCTACCTATGGTTTCGGGGCACTAGACTCTTGCTAAACAAAGCTCAGACCATTTATTACAAAGGAAAAGCCCAAAATATGGGTTGTGCTTGTCCCATACCAATCTTGTCTTTCTTACGTGAAGTTTGAGCAATCAAAATCTAGCCCAAGATATCTTGGGCCAACATTGTTTCTACTTCATCTCAACTATATATAAATAAGTGTTGTAAAATCGACTGTGGGTGCAGTGGAATAAATGAAACAAGACACAAAATTTACGAGGTTCCTCTACAGTCAGTGTGACTGGAGTACGTCCTCGGGGCAGCAGTGGTGCTTTCATTATAATTTGAAATAATAGGAGTACAAAGATAACTCTCTCTATTATCTCCTCTCATCTTCCTCTATTTTCTCTCTTCCTCTTCCTTCTCTCTCTTCCTTTTCTTCCTTTTCCTTCTTCTCTCCCGTGAACTCCACCACCAATTATGAAACTCTTTTTTTTTTTTGTGTTCCATAGTGTTGTTTTTATACAAGTAAATCACATGCTAAATAGTGGAAGGGCAACTTGCCCATTATTTGAGTGGACATCCATTTCTACAACACTCCCCCTTGGATGGCCACAAGTCTTCGATTGACTCGTTAAAATCTTGATCTGTTTTGGATGCTCCCCCTGATGAGTATCTCCCCCTGATTTCAAATCATTTAGGTTGATCGTTGATTGTTCTGCTTTAGTCTCTTAGTAAGAAGAGTTGCTGAAAGAGTTGCTTTACTTGTTGTTAACTTTCCACAGGCTTTTTCTTGAACTGGGTTGTAGGACTTTCTGCTAGACTAGCATCCAAAGGTCTGAATTTACTCCTTTTATCTGGAGCGGAATTTGATTCAAGAGTAGTGAACACTTGATCTTGAATCGGACTTGTGATTTCTTCAAGGACCTTCGAGGCTTGATCTTGAATGAAATTGGACCATGAGGAGCTTCATGTGGCAAGTGATCTTCAGTTTTGTCAGGCAGTATGAGGAAGAGTTATTTTCCCTGCTTTTCCCCCATGCATGTGTGGCATCTTCTCCGGCAGTATTTGCCCTCTGATGCCGGAGTGGAGTGCAACCCTTGCATTTGGATGGTTCATCACTTCTTAGTGACTGGAGACCCAGCTCCAACCGTTGAAGATGACTACTCGAGAGCAACACTAGGTAAGCAATCAGGAAAGGTTCCAGGCAGTCGGTTCCTTACCGGGAGTTTGAGTGGAGGTTCCGACATATTGCTTTCTTTATCCTTGTCTTTGCAGGCAAGAACAAGGACAAAGGAAAGGACAGGGAGATTGCATGATATGAGATAATCTTGCTCTGGTCCCTGAAGATATGTGATAATCTTGCTCTGGTGTGACATGTTTGAAGAGGTATTCTCGGAGATGAAGAAAACTGAGTATTTCGAGATGCTATGTTGAAGATGCATTCTCGGAGATGAGGAAGAGTTAGGTATTCTTGCAGTGTTGCGGGTCTGCCTTGTTATGGAGAACAGATGTCGACATATATAGAGATTTCTCAATAGCAAGTGGTGGTGCTGTGCTTTTACTCTTGTCAGCAACTGTGGTGTAAATAGAACAGTAAGATTTACACGTTTTCAACTTTGTCAGAGATCTTTGACAAAGTTGCACACGATATCTGAAAAGCTGAGATTACGTCTGAAAAATGCCAACGAATTTTATTCAGGAAAATCTGGCTTTTGAAATTCGGAGAGCGGTGCCTCATCGATCTTTGAACAAGTGGCTCTGCTGCCTCTTCTTTTATAGAGACATCAATTGTGTTCAAGAGTATGCTCAGAAAGTTACTGCTTGTAGAAATTTCCCCTATCTTGCACCTTTGAAATTTTATTTGACCTCTGTTTTTCCTTCATCATTTCTGAAAAATGACTTGCCCATCTAACATTTGCTTAGATTTGAGTCTTAGGAGTGATACAGACGAGCAGCGTCAAGATAATATATGGCGCCCGTCCTTCTTATCTTCTAATGGTCCTCTTACGGTTGGGGACTCTATGATGAAGAATAACATAACCGTTACTGTGGTAGCTAGGAATATTCTCACTCCAAGGGATAACAAGATCCTTTCAGAACGGTATGAAGAGTCGGCCGTTCAAGACTCCTTGGCTCTCAGTGTTCAGTGTGCTGGCTCTGTTTCCAATATAGGCCAACGCCTACTTGCTCAAACTCGCCAAGTTGAATCATTGATGGCGGAGGTGGCAAGTCTTAAACAAGAGATCAGAGGGCTCAAGCACGAGAATAGGGTGTTACACGTGCTTGCAAATAGTTACTCTACGAGCATGAAAAGAAAGCTCGTCCAACTGCAGGAATCCGAAAGTCGGATTCAAAGTGATCACCAGAGGTTCGTTGCTAGATTCCGAAAGCAACTGATGCCTTCCCCTTCTGGTGTTTTG